TCAAACTGTTTATTGCCCGGCCTCTCGGTGATTATCCCTTACCTATTTAAACAGTTGGTTTAAGTGGAGACGATGCATTGTAAAAAAGTAAAAGCACAGAAGATACACTTTAAGTATCAAAACACTCACATTATGCAGAACGGTCCCTTGTCGTGTGTTGAATTATTATCACTGAGTAATATGTAAGCAGCATTTGTAGGGAGGTGGAGCTCATTTCAACTGTTAGTTTAATCTGTGAGAATGCATCATGATATAGCATACATATTGTATATCTTGTTGTTAAAAAAAAAAAGAAAAACAATATTTACAACTGTATAAAGCAGCAAAAATAGAAATATTCATCTATCAAATAGAACAATAATTACAGGCCTCATGAGTCGAAAAGAGCATTTGCAGCACGGTTTTCTGCTCCGTTTACCTTAACTATTAAACTGTCTAGCTCCCCCTGAGAACTAATTGAGACATGTTTTTTTACACCGTATCCTTTGCTTTATTTGGATTGCACATACATATATTTGGCAATGCTTTTGTTTTCTTTTACACATTGTAATGATAGTATAATTACACAGCATTCTTGTCTTGCATCAGAAAAGTCAGGCCACCGAACCTGAGCTGCACTGTTTGTGCTGTGGACCATCCTCATGATCCCTTCAAACATCACTCCTGCAACACTTTTCTTTTAACATTATGTGTATATGAGAATTCCAACAGATAATTATTAATTAACTGACATATATCAACAAGAAATGCAGAGAAACTTGCAGACAAACTAAAATTAAATCATTAATATAGAGTGGTTTTATTAGCTGTGACACTGTGAATAACAAATTCATAATTGCCTTGGCTGTAAAAGAAAAAGACATTTTATTTAGAAAAAAAAAAAAAAAACGGACTGCATGTTAACACCCAGGGGGAAAACACACTAATGGCTACTCTCGAATGAGATATGACACAGTCAGCAGAGCCTGGACAGACAATCACAGGACATTGGTATTATGAACCTTGGAGACCATGTCATGAGAGGGATGGACAGTGTGTGTTGAGAGCCAGCGGGTGCACTGTCAGTTTATTAAGAGTGTTAAAGCTGTTAGGGGAAGAAGCTACTGCACAGAGCATCTATTTCTACTCCAGACATAAGTTGTTTCAAACTTATAGTTTTCACATGTTCCAAAANNNTTTTGGAACATGTGAAAACTATAATATACTTCTTTAAAATGTATTTTACTTGGGGGCACCATTCATCTGACCAGACTGTACTACACTGCTTTGGTTATACTGATAAGATCTTGACTCAGAGATCATGTATATCATATAGATTGTCAAAGGTCCATGCAGCTGTACCCACTTATTCTTTGCAGGGACACAGGGGGCTTAATACATGTCGTTATACAGTATAAAAAGTGTGCAGGATATATATTTGAGAGTAATAGATGATATGTACATGTGGTGTATTTTAAACTGTAAATGTATAATTTACCACTTGTATGGATGGTTTAGTGTTTTGGCATACAGTGCTCTTTAGCGCCTACCAGAGGGGAGTAGTTAAATAAGGTTGTGTCCAGGGTGTAATGTATCTGCAGTGATGTTTCCTGTCTGTTTCCAGACTCTGGAGATGTACTATTCCTGAATGAAGGGCATGATGGCACCAGTGATTTTTCTCTGCAGTCCCGACAGTCCTTTGTGGTCTGTTCCTGTCCTGTTTCGAGGCCGATCCAAACCAGACAGTGATGGATAACCACACACCAGACTGGATGATTGCAGTGCAGAACTGGATCAGTAGCTCTTAAGTAGTGTTGGGGGGCTCTTCCTGAAGGCCACTGTCATCTCCACAGTTTTGGGAGTGATAATTAATCAAAATTATTTATTCCATATGATTTCTGTTGAGATATTTGATTTAATGTTAATAATTTTGTTCTCTCTTCGCTGAGGTTAAATCACACACAGATACCAAACATTAAGGAAATTTCAGAAGATAAAAGTGCTCTGCATCCCAAGCTTAAAGTCTTGCCTCATATATATAGAGAACCTATATCTTATATAACTTGATGGATTATTACAAAGTGAAAAACTAAAGAATATTTATTAATACCAACATTTATAATTATAGGACAAAGTGTACCGAAAGGATTTTTCACAACCTGGCCACCCAAAAGTTGTTCTTAATTCTGATAATGCTATTAGTTAGTATTATTAAATGGTTTCCAAAACATGAATTTTTTTTATTAAGAATTGAAATGTGTATAAGTCAAATACAATTACAGAGCTTCAATGTCTTTATAAAGAAGTGAAGTTATTGGCAGTTGTCTTGGTGGATTGCATTATATTCTAAGGTTCATGGTATCTCAGTCCACCTTATCCTCAAAAAGGCATTGCAAGACTATTGCATTGCAAGATAACGGGTTTATAATATTGTGGAGAAGAAAAAAACATTTAAAAACCTTTCAGTGTAATGCAACTTAACACAATACCACTACAAAGTGCAGCCTCAGACTATTCTATTGCAATAGATTGCATCACATTGTACAGGTGTTTCTGTTTTTCTGTCTCAGATGTTATTGGACATATTAGCAACTGATGTCAGCAGAAATTGACTTAATCAGGTTTTTCAATTTGGGTTTATGCATGTTTTATACCTTCAGAGCAATCGTGAATGTACATGTGCCTTTGTGGGAAGGGTTACTGCTGCCCCCTTGAGCCAAATTATAATGCAGCTTGCATTAAACACCATACGATGCCAACAATACGTAATGGATTTGCTAGATTTACTATTGTTTACATAGTGAAATGTTAAACTGTATACCTGACATTGGCAGTATTCAACTGAATGTAATGTTTCAAATCTGTTATTACCCTGATGAAGAGGTTCAGGATGTTTTAAAGGACATGTGGGTAATCCCTTCCTGAGCTCTGACGTTCACATCATCACTCATATTCAGTTACTCGGGCAACACCTGTAATATCTAATAATATTAACCCGAGCAAAACACACTGACGTGCTCTCCCACGCCAGGAGTTAATTATTATACATTTTTTTCCTCTTGGCAATGACAAGAACACAGCGGCTCAGAGTAATGAGCCAATTAGTTTCATTACAGCCGACTCAAGTCCTGTGATCACGGAAACTATGCAGCCTTCCTTTCTCATCTTTGCTGTGAGACTGAGCACTTGCAGCAGAGTGTGATGATGGTACTTACAGCTTAGCTCCTCAACCCAATTCATCCCCTTAAAAACACACGTGTACTCCGCGTGTCTCACAGACCTATTGTTGTGGCACTGGCAGGAGTCCAAAAACACACTGTGACTTCTTAACTGATGCTTGCATAAAATGCACATTTAGGAGTAGACCCTCTGTATGTGGTCCTAATCATATCTACTGTACATGTCAGAACACACAACATTGTTTAAAAGCTCTTTCTGTCGAAAACATCCATTGGGTGCTACATGGTCCAAACTCTTAGGATAAAAAAAAAACAAAACACAAACAATACATTTAAGAATCATTTAGACTGTTGTATTGCTCTCATTCAAAACACTGCTCCATAAAAATAAAAAACACGATATCTGCTTCCTTCTGAGTAACCTATTGTTATTGAGTACATAAGATGCTTGTATAAAATTGGTTTCAGAGTTATAACATGAAAAATACTACATCAGTTGTGGAATCAGAACCGCAGTCCAAAAGTCAAGATGTACAGATCACAGAACAAAGTGGAAGACAATGTGGTTTTTGATTTTTGGTTCAAATTTTAACAGTCTAGAGCTTCACATCTTGACGGCATATTGATGAGATTGTGACAGCATTAATTAAAGCCCTTATTTGCACTACAAATCAGAAACAGCACTGATTTTGAATGTCTTCAATGTTCTTCAAGGAATATATGTACATTTCAAATGATTGAGATGCATTACACACACACACACAGATATGCAATCATATCCTAAATCAACTGAATCAGTTTAAGTTACAGTGTATACTTCAATCAGCAAAAAAAGCATGATCAAGTCATTTGAATAATACAGTAAAATTTAAGACATTGTTCATCAAACTGTCACTAAATGGAATTTAGATAATGATGCATTGAAGATGGTGTCTAAGAAAAATGTTGATTTTAAAATGAAGCTGTTGCACAAATACCTTTGACCCTGCACACTACA